AACATGATGCTACTCAAAAATAAAATGTAAAAATGTAAAACTCTCAAGCAAGACAAGATCCCTTAACTTCCCAGGCTGATATTGCTGATAATTAAAAGGGGCCCTTGTCATCCACTGTAGTGTCTTCCAGCCTGTCAGTACAGGTAACAGAGCCAGCATGCCCAGTGTGGTGGTGCATACCTGTAGTCCCAGCACTCAACAGGCAGAGGCAGGCAGATCTCAGGCAAAGACCAACCTGGACAACAAAGAGAGCTCCAGGCCTGCCGGGACTACACAATGAGGCCCTGTCTTAAAGCAAAAAGGCAGAGCCAAGCATAAGGACCCTCATGCTGCCTGCGCCAGGTATCTCTGTGGGCTAATGCAGACCCTGCATGCTTCTGGACTTGAGTTTCCGTCTTCCATACAACAGGAACTTTTCTGTTTCAGATGTGCTACTGAACCTTCACTCCACCAAGTAAAATGTCGAAGTCAAAAAGTGCTGGGGACAGGGCACACCAGGATCCTCAATTATCCACTCCCAGAGACCCCAAATTCAGACTATTACCTCCCCAACAAAAGCCTGCTTGTACCACCACAGCAGTCTGCCAGTAATTACTCCCAATCACAAACCCAGAGCCAGCAAGGCCTCAATTACTCTGCAAAGGGGCCAAAGGAAGGGTGGGTTACCCAGAGAGTGTAAAGCCCACATATGACCTCTGCGGTGACCTGGTAACAAGGGGTCCTGAGCAAAGGACTGTTGGTTGTCTGTCTCACACACACACACACACACACACACACACACACACACACACACACACCAAGACCCTCTTCATAAATCCATTTTCTGTTCTCTCACTGTCTGCAAATTCTCCCCAGCTCCCACTTTTCCAGGTTAAGGTGCAGCATCTTTAAGCCATCGCCTGGTTCTACAGCGCGTGACCATCCCTGGACAAACACTGTGGAGAGATGCCCAGGCTGGGCCTCTGAGGGAATCTGGAATCTTCTTTGTGGTATCCAGAAACAAAAGGGCCCTGGCCTACTCTACAAATGTCCTGAGAACACCATTAGGTCTCCAAACCCACAGTCTGGCAGGTTTTCACGAAATGGAATCCCCCTCACATGAAGCAAAGTGCTGGGACACCATGAGATGGGAGGGCTTGCTGGGGTGTAAAGAGGCTTGGTTGGAATCTAAAAGTCAATTTAACACGCTCCTACTAAAACGTGTAGGATCTGACCTAGTATATGCAACAGGTGAGCTCAGAGGAGTGGTGAGGCAGAGAGGATTTGGAGTTGATGAAGAGAGATGGACAGAGATCAACGTGAGTGTGTCAGAGTGATGCGGATATCTGAGGTCTGGATGTGAAGTTGAAAGTCGGTAGTTATTGCCTGTGGAGTTGGGTAGGGAGGGCTAAGCCCCATCGAAGCCCTCTTTTCAAGGGCTTCAGGGCTTGTGCAGAAGAGGGCTTCAGTTCAGCCTCCTGGGTTCTTCTCTCCGGGCGAGGGAACGGGAAACTGGAACTGTTAGCCGATCCATAAGAAAGGGAACCTGAGAGACAAGCAGCCGATCCGGTGCCTGTGTGTCCAACCTGAACCATTCTGGGGAGCGCAGTTTGCCCCCCCCCCCGCGCGCACAGGGGCGGCAGGGCCTTCTGCGACAGCTGCCGGAAGCCCCAACCCGGAGAAAAAGTCTTCATCAGGGACCAGTGACTTGCTCAAGTCTGCCGGTCTAGACGTCGGAGCTCCCGGCCGGCTTGCTGAGAGACTGCTGCGTCGGCGACTTCCTAGCTCGGCATCTGCAGGAATTTCTCTCGCAGCACAAGGAGCTGGAGACGCTGATGGCTCCTGGAAACCCTGGCCAGAGAAACACGGTCCTGCTTCAGGACCGTGGCCGCTGGAGGTGTGCGCAGGCCGGAGGTCACTAAGCAGACGCCCAGCTTTGTCAGAAGGAACGGGGCGAAACGCGGTGGTTCACACAACCTCTGTAAACGGGCCTAGAGGAACAGAATCCCTCTCTTGCCAGAACGTAGGGCCCTCCCTACCCAGCCTGTCTAAAGGGGTAGAGTAGGAGTGGGAAGTAACTCAAAGTTCACCCCACCACTTTCTGGTACGCCTGCTGCACCCACCTCTCGCTGAACCGCGGTGCAGACAAGCACCTTCTCCCCAGTCTCCAGTCCTTAGCTCTGACTGCTTACCGCCCGCCAGATGCGGCCTGGGAGGTGATCCCCAGTTCTGTTTCCCAGCCTTGTGCACACATGAGGCACCCTTTCTCCACCTGGGATTAGGGTGCTGATCCTGCAAAGGACAGCAAGAAATCAATTCCCAGGAATGCAAGACTCCTATTTCCACAAAAAAAAAAAAAGAAAGAAAGAAAGAAAGAGAGAGAAAGAAAGAGAAAGAAAAAAAAAGTTCCATAGAGACTCTGTCCTACACCCGCAACACACACACACACACACACACACACACACACACACACACACACACACACACAGGCTCCTTAAAGACTGAAAAGGGAGCCGACAGAGGAATTTGGGGAAGCGATGACACACACAACAATGCTGTCACACCTGGCTGCTGAGGAGCTGAGCAGCGGAAATAGAGCCGTTTGAGGGGGTGGGGAGAGAAGGACCCAGGGTCAGCTTGGGTGGTCAAAAAGAGAAAAAAGAAGAGAAAGAAGAAAAAGAAATTGGGGGGAGGAGAAGCCACCACCTCCAGAATGGGACCAGAGCCAGATGTTTTGCCCCTGCCCGGACCAACCAGACTCATCACGCCTACCGGAGCTGGACATGCCTGTTGTTGAGGAAGACAAACACCTGCAGGCCTGCTCAGATAGCAGTCGGATCTTGAAGAAGTGCTGTTTGCCCCTGGTGTGCTCCGGACTGCAAGAGATAGCCTAGAAAAACATTCAAGCCATTTGGGGATATTTTCAATAAGAGCTGGAAGTGGGTATCTCCCAGGGAAATCAAAAGAACTTCAGCTCCCCGCTCACCCCAGCGGTTAGGCCAGGTTTGCCCTGCTGACCTATCTGGAGACATCTTCAAGATGCTGAATTCCAGAGGCGAGCACCCACCCAAACCCCAAACACACACACACACACACACACACACACACACACACACACACACACTGTCCTCCTTTCCCTTCATCTCAAAGTGGGGAACACACAATGTAGATAGGTGGTCTGTGGATTCTGGAGCCACTGACCACTGCCGGCTCTCGGGATTCTGGAGAATTCTTGAAGATCAAGCAGCCTAAGAGAAAGAAGTAAAAACAGACACTGAGCTAGCCACCTAGACATGCCAATCACCGAGACACCTTCAGGGTGTTCATTCAGACCACCACCCTTCACAAAGCGTCTGGGCACTCTGCGTGGGGCACCCAGGAGTTTGAAGATTTCAAACACCAGCCTCTCTTCTGCTTCAAGACTGTGGGCATGCCTTAAGGCTAAGTTAAACGGCACACCTGATTTTGGGCTGGCACAGATTTCCTCTGAGTTCTTTTCTGTTCTTGAGGGTGTAACTGGATACCCACCAGACTTCTGTTATCTTGACAAAACCTTTAGAGAAAGCAGATCAAAACTACTGCCCATCATGCCTGAGATGTGAGCAAGCGCCTCCCCAGCCTGTTGCTTTTCTTTTGAGTCAGTAGTAACAGAATTACCGAAGCTGGGAGGGGAGGAGGCAGGTAAAGATTGTGGGGGTAAGGAAAAAAGAAAAAAAAAAAGATGTTATATCCACGAACCATGTTTAATCTGTACTTGATTCCTACACCTCACTAATGAGCAGATACAACTCTCAAACCTTGCACGTAAGCATACCTGTGTTTCCGAACAGCTCATTTGCACTTGCGCAGTATTTCTTACATCGCAGCCCATCCTCCGTGTGACACCTGTGCACACAACAGTCCTCTAAATCCCTCAGCAACATCCTCTTCGGTTTCCTAGCCGGAGTACAGGGAATGCTAGTTGGTCTTTAAAACACACATCCAACTCGTGGGATTGCAAGGAAAATTCCGAGGAGAAACCTGGTGCCTACATCCACCCGCAGCACAGAGAGAGAAGCAAAGTATCGATGCAAGCAGTACTCCTGGGTGCCTCTTCCCAGCGATCCTCTCCCCGGCCCCTGTTCGACCCAGAGAGCTCGAGGGACAGAGCAGGCCAAAACTTCTGCCTTCCGTGACACGAGCTTTGGGCTGGTTTACCTCCAGCTGCCACAAAGTTCTACCACTCCACCCCGGTCCGGCCCCTCGCCATCTCGCCCCTCCCTAAGCCTCAAGCGAGAAGTCTAGCCCAGCACAGCCCCAAGCAGAGAGCAAAGGAGTTGTTTTCTGTCACCTGAACGCTGCCAGGAGGCTTGGATCTGTGTTCCCGGGACACTGGCAGGGTGCAGCTAGCCTTCATCCGGACCTTCCGTGAAGCAAACACCCGCAGATTTCACGCACTCATGAGTGCGTGAGTCCGGCGGGGTCTCCTAAACTTCCAAGGCCCGGGGCAGGCCGGTCTAAGCTGTGCCGGCCGTTTAAAAAAAGAGAGAGATTTAGAGATGAACTCGCCCGTGCGCTGCTGGCTGCCCCGCTATAGGGGCGAAGGCCCCTGACGCAAGCGGAACTCTGCGGAGCCCATACGAATCAGAACGGAGCAAGGCTCCTGGCGCACTAGGGACTCCAGGAGGCAGCTGCGCCAGAGACGCGGGTCGCGCCTCGGGAAACCGGTTGGTGGGGGGAGGGGAAAGCTCCACCAAGAAAACCCACCGAGGCGGGGACTGGCCTGGGCGGGGAGGGGCGGCGGGGCCGGAGCCCCTCGCTGTTGGGCAGACTCCCGATGGCCAGAGGCTGACTTCCACTCCCGCCGACCGCTCCCCGGGGGGAAAGAGGAGGGAGAGAGCGATAGCGGCTCGAGGCCTCCGGTTCCCGCAGCCTGCAGAAGTTGGAAGCTCAGCCGCGAGCGCACACTTCTGCGCCCGCTTGTAAGGCGAGCCTGCACCCGAAGAGCACAGCCCCGGGGCAGCCCGGCCGAGGAGCTCCGGCTTTTGTCATGATGGCCAGCTACCCCGAGCCCGAGGACGCCGCGGGGGCCCTGTTGGCCCCGGAGAACGGGCGCACAGTCAAAGAGCCCGAGGCGCCGCCGCCGAGTCCGAGCAAAGGCGGCGGGACAGCACCGGAGAAACCGGACCCCGCGCAGAAGCCCCCGTACTCGTACGTGGCGCTCATCGCCATGGCGATCCGCGAGAGCGCCGAGAAGAGGCTCACCCTGTCGGGCATCTACCAGTACATAATCGCCAAGTTCCCGTTCTACGAGAAGAACAAGAAGGGTTGGCAGAATAGCATCCGCCACAACCTCAGCCTCAACGAGTGCTTCATCAAGGTGCCGCGCGAGGGCGGCGGCGAGCGCAAGGGCAACTACTGGACGCTCGACCCGGCTTGCGAGGACATGTTCGAGAAGGGCAACTACCGGCGGCGCCGCCGCATGAAGAGGCCCTTCCGGCCGCCGCCAGCGCACTTCCAGCCGGGAAAGGGACTCTTCGGGTCGGGAGGAGCGGCGGGTGGCTGCGGCGTAGCGGGAGCGGGGGCGGATGGCTATGGCTACCTGGCGCCGCCCAAGTACCTGCAATCGGGTTTCCTCAACAACTCCTGGCCCCTGCCGCAGCCGCCCTCGCCCATGCCCTACGCCTCCTGCCAGATGGCTGCGGCCGCTGCAGCAGCTGCGGCAGCCGCTGCAGCAGCCGGCCCGGGCAGCCCCGGTGCAGCCGCAGTGG